AAAAAAAAAAAAAAAAAAAGCAGGTGCCATTGGTCTTACCCTTTTCTTCATGGCCATGAAATTCTTCTCATGTAATGAGAATTAAATATGATCCTTCATGTAAAGAATTTAAAATAACGTCAGGCACAAACCAAGCAATAAATTATCATTTAATTGATAAGAATCATTCCAATTGCATGAATTCTTATCAACTAAATTATAAGATCACACACACACACACACACACAAACACACACACACACACTCATTGTTTTTATGTCCGGAATAACTGTTCAAGAACATACACACACACAGCATTTCTGTATGGAAATCTTCAAGAACAAGGGAGAAACCGTTATGGTGCATGGAAGGGGAATTAGGACAAGATGTGAGTGGAAAGAGAAACATCCCATCACACATGCTTGAAGAATCCGTTTAATTTAAAAATAGGTAATACAAGCATACAGAGAAGACATTAAAATAAAAGATTTACACAGAAAATTTTCGTTCCCAATCCATTCCCTACTCACAGTCCTATATATGTTACTTTTATTTTCCTTTGTTTGGAAATAGAAATGCACTGCCCCTACTTTCTCGCGAACACTGCCATCTCTCTACATTTTTCTGCACTTGTTTTTTTGTGCATACGCTTTCGTTGTGAAATATTTGCCCCCATCTGCTGTTGTATCTGAAATAAATACATACATATAAGCTAAACAGCTTCCCTTGGTCGCACCACCTCCAAGCCCGTCCCCGCCCTCCCTCAGGCCCAGGTCCTCCGAGGGCCCCCTTCGCAGGCTGTTTCTAAGGATGCCTGTCCCAAGGCCTCAGACTGAAGCCCCGCCCACTCTCCCCCTCCTCTGCCTTCTGGATGCCCGCCTGCACCCAGAAGGTCGGCGGGCTCCTCAGGCAGTGCGGCGGGCAGCCAGTCTTCCCGCGCGCCGTGGGCCTCGGAGGACCCCGGCGACTGCCCGTGGTGTAAGACCGGGGGTACGCGGCAACGCCTGCGACTGAGGCGGGTGTTACGGTTGATTCCGCTGGTTGTCTCTGGAGTCCACTTCCCTGGCCGCCCTTGCCAACACTGGCAGATTGTTGTGCAGCCAGCGCCATGTCCGTGAACGAGATCTTCGTGGGGCTGCAGGGCCTTTTGGCTGCCGAGCAGGACATCCGAGAGGCGAGGCCCATGCCTTCCCCATTCCCTTTCCCTCTCCGTGTCTAGCTGGGCCACATCGCCCGGCCCTCCTCCGTCGCTGAGTCTGGGGCGGTGGGGACGCCTCCGAGGGTCGGTTGCTTCCCCTCTAGCTTTAGGTTAGGGCACTACCCGCCCCTTATCCTACCGCTCTGTCCTGATTCTCCGTGTTCGGGTCTCAGCTTCTCAGCATCACCTGCCTCGTTTGGGTCAGTTTTCCTTGTTTTCAGCACTTCCTTATAGGGAAGGCTCGAATAGCACATGTTCTTCAGCGAATACGCGTTTCGTGTATTTGTTGTTGATGTCTTAAAAGCACCTGTGGTTTCCTTTCCCACATAGCATTAAAAAATCAAACTGTACTGTGGCCCACATGGTCTCTCTTCAATCTCATTTTACGCCATCTCTATGTATGATGTCACTTTAGCTCTTTACTTCTCTTGCCCCAGTTAGCTTCCTGCCTGTTTGCCTTTAATGGAATTTGCGTCTTTCCCGTTCTTTTCCTGGTTATCTCACATTTATCTCCTTGACCTCACAACCTAAACGGTCTATTTCCTGTTATGTTTTCTAATAGCACATTAAATTTGAAAAAAAAAAAAATGCGTGTAATGTTGATTATTTTAAAAATACCTTCTCTCTCGTTATATGTTAAACCACCAGAGGGAAGGGATTGTATGCTTGGTTCCCCAAGTATTTACACAGTGCCTCGCTCATAAGTGTGCTAAGTGAACATTTTAAAAATGAAGGCTGGGTGCAGTGCCTCATACCTGTAATCCCAGCACTTTGGGAGGCCAAAGCTGGCAGATCACCTGAGGTCAGGAGTCCGACCAGCCTGGGACAACATGGTAAAACCCTATGTCTACTAAAAATACAAAAGAAAATTAACTGGGCGTGGTGGCGCACACATGTAATCCCAGCTACTACGGAAGCTGAGGCAGGACAATCGCTTGAACCCAGGAGGCGAAGGTTGTGGTTATCTTAGATCGTGCCACTGCACTCCAGTCTGGGCAACAGAGCAAGACTCTGTCTCAAAAAAAA